CTTTAGATGAATGTCCGAAAACATTTATAGCTAAATTATTTTGCTTTTCCACCTTATCAATTTGTGATATTGGTGTAGGTTCGTGTATGCCATCAAAGTTGAGTCCATCGTTTTGAGGATAGCTAGATGGTCTATTTGCAATTTTAGAATCTACAGGGAACAATGCAGATCTTATCATCATTCTGAAACAGTCATCGGATTTATTTTTTACATTAATTATGGCTTTTTTCTTTTTATAATATGGGGGTAAATCTATATAAGATCCACCTTTGAAGGGCATATAATTTGCTATATCTAAATATAAACTATCGATTTTATCCACACCCCAACCCGAACCTTTATTAGTCCAGCATTCTATAGTTTCTTGTATCCTCTGAATTGATGTATCTAATGATGTGCTTATAGAATCAGATTCAGTTATAACTTCTTGATTGCTCCGGAAATATGGTTCGGTATATTCAGTGCTATTGTCTGTGTTACTTTTACTCAATGGCATTTTAATCGTCAGCTGGTATTTTATACTATGTAAATCATCTTAACTCCTCGTTAAGTTTACTCGATATGATAGGCCTAACATCATTAACATCCATGTTGGAATTAATATCCATCTTCCAACCTCTTAGATATTTACCAACGCCATCTGTGGGTACAAATTTTAACTCATCAACTGGTTGATTATTTTTATCAACATCATCGGATTGATTCTTATCTAGTAAATCGATCAATTCAGCTTTTCTCGTTCGAGAATAACCTCTCAGCCCACTGTTTTTCGGTTGAGCTTTGAGTTCTCTAACAGTCTGGGGTTTGTTGTACTCCAAACCGAGTAAATCGATCAATTCAGCTTTTCTCATTCGAGAATATCCATGTAGACCACGTGCTTCGCCAAAGCCTTCAGCTCTCTGACAAAAACCATTGTGATTTAATGGTATATACAAAATGAATCAATTGTCTAAATGGTTGTTTTTCATATATAAATACGTATTCTCCCCAACCTATTCCTCTCATTGATGTAATCTCTCTTCCTAGCATAAATAATCTGCTTCCTGACCTTGTCAGCACCGTGACTCTTACATAAACAGTAACTACATTTGACCCCAATCCCACATACAGAACAAACATAATTTTTAAAACCCTTTCTGATGTTATAAGAGTTGGTCCCACAGTAAATACCCACAGATGGCTTCTGACATTGAATCGATTTCCCCATGGGTGTATATTTGAACAGATTCATGGTTATACACATATCATATCATTTGTTTAAAAGGTAAATCATATCTCCACTGGTGAGTCATAGCTGTCATCGCTAATTATAGATTAGTTGATGTAATAGCTCATAGCTTATGTGTAGCTAAAAATAGACAACAGTCAGCGCTATTTATAGATTAACAGTCAGGGTTATTTACAGGTCATGATTTATGTGTAGTTATTGTATAACCTAAAATAGCCACACCAGTCAATCCCAACATTATGAATGCTATCTCTCTGTTTTTTTGTTCCTCTGATGGTGTATAAAACTGACTTATTGTTGGTTTCTGTATTGGATCAAGTTTCTTTCCATAAACAAGGAAGTATTCGTGCTGTCAGGTTCAACACCCTTAAACGTTTGAATTGAATGTCCTTGCTTAAGTAGTTCTTCATTAATAAAATCTAATCTTAATATCCTATTTCTGGTCCATTGTGACTGGGCTGCTTCGAGTTGTTCTAATGCTTTATTATGTCTTTTCTGCTCCAAACCTCTCATACTAGAAAATAAAAAATTACTCCCAGAAAAACCTAGAGCATTAACAACAGCTCCACCAACCATCATTGCAATTGATGCCATGCTATATGAACATAAAATATTCAAATGTTTAATTACTTCATTATGTCTTCCAGGATAAGCCCTTGTTTGATAAGCATATCTTTCGTAGCCATTGCTAATCCAATATCAAGAATGATCATACCGATATCAACACCATTAAAATCTAGCTTGGGTGGTGTGGCTTTAGTAATCATTTTGTCTATACGGGCATAGCCAATGGCCAAACCGCTGACCACCGCTGAATGATATGTTGCGTTTACCAACATTTTACCGTCTGTAACTGGAGTAGTCATGCTTTTTATAGCATCATATGGGGGCTAACCTCTAATTGAACTTGTTGTGTAATCGGGCATGACGTTTTCTCTTCTCCGGTCTTATAAAACAACCATACCACCGCTATAGCAACAACTCCTAGTGCATAGGGAGCCCAAGTTTTAATCGGACGACTATGTTCAATATTTGAATTATGCATTAATTTTCTAGCCTTCCTCACTAACGCACCTTTCCTACCAGCGGCGATTTTCTGGGGTTCTTAGCAACTCTGGCTTGTAATTTGCAATTGCTGGTATTTCCTCATTCACAATCTGTTGTGATTGTGCAATCGGGGTTATTTCCTTGTTCACTTGTTGTTGCGTCTCCACAATCTGTGGTGTCACTTGAGTCTCCATTATTATTAAGTGGGCACGTATGTTTAAATTGACAATACCTAGCCGTTATTAAAGCGGTGGTCACCGGAGCTAAGAACATTCCGTATCTATGATAAAACTCACAGCTTACTGCGCTTATAGCGTGTGCGATGAATGGGTCTTTCTCGAGAGATTCGCAAAGGATGACAGTACCATAGGTGTAATTTGATTGTCTGCCTTGGGTCACATGCTCAAATTTGACCAATCACGAACCTTGTAGCAGATTTCAGCAAGAAAGCGTCATTAGAAACCAATTTTTATCCAATAAAATTCAATGTAAGTATTGTTACAGACACGAAAAGACTCCAGGTGATGTTACAACAGTGTAGATGAAAAAACAAGCTTCCTAGTGGTGTGTCATATGACAGTCTTTGACAAATGTGTTATTCATACAAAGTTTCGAAAACGGAGGTATTTCTTCATGTTACTGAGCGCCTTTTACAGGGAATAAATTGTTTCATTGTTGCTAATTTAACAAGAGTGAACCTGGAACAATATTCATTGCATAATGAGTGAGTGAGTGAGTATGGTTTTACGCCGCTTTTAGCAATATTCCAGCAATATCACGGCGGGGGACACCAGAAATGGGCTTCACACATTGTACCCATGTCGGGAATCGAACCCGGGTCTTCGGCGTGACGAGCGCACGCTTTAACCACTAGGCTACCCGACCGCCCCCATTGCATAATGAAATGTAACACCATTTACAGTACCGGTATTCGCTTTTATGTCTTATTACTTTGATTATATTCAGTTACGATCTAAACATACATTGTCGAAGATCTGTAGAAATCTGGTGGGAATATTATCACCGCAGTGGAATAAGTTTTCTGTATGTTCACTTTAGTTTTTGACATTTTCGCTTTTGTTTTTGACATTTTCATTTTAGTTTTTGACATTTTCGCTTTTGTTTTTGACATTTTCATTTTAGTTTTTGACATTTTCGTTTCAGCGATTCAATATCTTCTTTACACATGATTTATCACATATTTGTAAGACTCCATGTCCCTTATGGGCCAACGTATATGTCATCTGGTAAAATAAATTTCAGCATTCGAGTCACAAATAGCTAAAATCAAGTAAACTCATATACAATTTCAAGCCTAGTGCTATGACTTGTTCATATTATTATAGTTATTTGATAAAAGATAAATTCAAATGTTTTTGGCTACCTAAAATTTAGGCTTGTTTTGTTGATTTTACTACTGGCTACATGGAAAAAAATACTGGTAGCCATATGGCTACAAGTTAAAAAATTAACCTTTGAGGCCTGGGTTTTGTAGCTGTAGCTGAAAAAATTGTCTGTCCAAAACTATGGTCTGTCATAGATGTTAGTTGAGATAACAAGGAACACTTCCAGTCATCGACCATTGCCTGGCAGCTAGGGTACACCCAGAGACCTCCAGGATCCTCCCAAGAGAAGACATTCAAGCGGGAAAAGATTACTTTTGCGTGCCTTCATGGACAAGCCCACTCCTCAGTTTTCCAATGACGGAGCAGAGGCAGGTGCAGGTGCAGGTGCTGGTGCAGGTGCTGGTGCAGGTGCAGCTGTAAAGGCCAGAACTGACTACAGAACAAATATCCCAAGTTACTCAGAATCATATCGACAAGGCTTTGCTTACGGACTTCGATTACAGACTACCACACATTTTCGGTAACAAACTTTGATCTGTCTTGGATGAGGTTAGTCGGGAGACTAAAGAAAGGTATCAGACTTCTAAGAACAACTTGGTTGCTAGAACACAGAAGCATCCAGCTGAATCTATCAGAGTTAATCAGGAAACTCCCCCCAAAAGGGCACATCCAGGCTAGTCAGGACTTTTCATGCTCTCTCCTGAAAGGTAAAGCTCACTTACCAGTTTCCCTACGACAGATGATTCGAACTTTCAACATCACTGCAGTTTTAGAGACAGACCCTGCCTGTGGGGAAGAGGTGTGCCCTTCAACTGACTGTTTTGAAGAACCCTGTGTTGTACAAAACCATATGGACCTGGTTTTGTTAATGGATTTTGATTTCAGACAACCAGACTTGAACATTACCCCAACTCTTAGACCAGTAGGGGGACAACTTACATCTTACGCTGTTAATTGGCATTTTTAAGCATGTGCCTCACTGAATTGAATTAATGATTGGACTTCCTCTATAAAAGCTCACACACTTTGACTTCTGTGTGCATGTGCATCACATGATGTTCTTGCTTGAAGTGCAATGACCTTGTGATTTAATGTTGTATTCAGATTCAACACCACAGAGGCAAGGTTCTTTAATCTGGTATGAGGCTGTAGAATCATCACTGGTAATTCAAAGGGCCCAAATTACCAACGGTGTTGCTTGTTTTGAAAGTACTTGCAAATATATTTTATTGTTTTTTTGTTTTTTTTTAAATTGGTCAATGTCATGGCAATGAATGAAAGTTTTAAATGTATTCTTATTTTATGTGTCACAAAGCTGTTCCCTTTTAATCTGATTATTCATTTACACTGATCAACTTCCTTTATATGTGTACTTTCAGCTTAACATGAAAAATGCTGCCGATGCAAGATATGTTGAAAATCACATCAGTTTCAATGACATGAGAGCCTTTGTGTGTGAAGATCCTAATGATTTGGAGCTATTCATGTCAACTATGAGAGACGAACAAAGGTTGAAAGTAAATGTGGTCAAGATGCCAGTAGAAGCAGTGGAATCATTCCGCCCTCCCCAGCCACTAGCTGCATACAGGTGAGTGGGGCAACATGGTTCACTATAACTACTGACCTGTGAAGATCCGGGGTAGAATAGGTCTTCAGCAACCCATGCTTGCCCTAAAAGGCGACTATGCTTGTCGGAAGAGGCGACTAACGGGATCGGGTGGTCAGGCTCGCTGACTTGATTGATGCATGTCAATGATCCCAAGTGCATGGATCGATGCTCATGATATCAATCACTGGACTGTTTGGTCCAGACTTGATTATTTACAGACTGCCGTCTTATAGCTGGGTGTGGCGTTTAACAACAAACAAACACTATAACTACTGATGATGATGATGAGGTAATGATGGTTCTGGACCACTTCCACTGGAGCCAGATTTATATACCTATACCACCACTACAAGGGGAATTTTTTATGCGAAAATGATGATGCGATTCAACGATCGTCATGACATTAAAATAAATTGTAATGAAAATATTCTCTATTATTTTTACTCATACGTATACCATTATTTTTAACAAAGTGATATTCAACATTTTTACTAAGTTCTTCATTCATTTTACTAGGAGACCAGACTATATACTCTTCTTGGTAATTGGAAAGAAACAATTGATGACCGTATTTGGTTGGTTTGACATCACTGATATAATATATACCCTGTGGTAATTCTCTCCATTTGATAATTTTGTCCCTGAGCATAAATGCTTCGATAGCTTTTTCAAGTTCTTCCTTTGTTGGTTTGTAATTCTCCATTATTATATACTTATGTAAGCATTCGTCAAAATGAATGTATGATTTTTTATGCGGTACGATCTAATGATAGGAAGCAATCTATTTTTAATCTCCAACCAGTTCTTTGGTTTTGGCAGGGAATAATTGACGAGCTTGTTGTCTCCCCTGTTCTATGAACTTTTTTTTCTCGTCTTAGCTAATATCACTGGTCTTACGAGAATTTGAAAAGACAGAAGGGGTGGGCGCTTATTGGGACCAAATTCCTTTTAATATTGTTTTAATTATTTTTGGCGAAATCGTGTGTGAAGCGATCGGAAGATCGCACAACTCACCGTTATTAACAGCAACCATGGTCAGATTACCGCTATTGACGCCTTGAAACGAACTTAAGTTGACAGAGAATGGATACATATATCATAAATGCCATACTTTGATTCGTTAAAAGTCATATTTGATTTTGTTGGACGATTCTATGTCAACACGTAATTCTCGCGATCACGTGTTTACGAGAAAATGCAAAAGGCAATCTTAATCCCTGGATATAAAACGAGGCCTAGCTGAACAAAAAATACGATTAAATCATCAACATGTCTGGTGATTTTTTTTTATCTCAAATTTCGAATTTGTACTGACGAAGTTTCTCATCAACCGTTCGTTTGCAGGACTTCACTGAAGGGGTACAGTGTTATTTTTTTCTGTGCATAATATTCAAAGTCACAAATATCAAAAATAAACAGAATACAGTCATGCCCTGCTTATACGGACTTCAAATATCCGAAAACCTCGGTTCCCGGATGATTTTCATTTAAAACGAAATAATTACTATATAAATTTTCGGAACCGGGAAGGGGGGGGTGCTTATTAGGGGAGGGGCGCTTATTAGGGGAGGGGCGCTTAATGGGTCGAATACGGTAATCGAAATCCATCAACAGTATCCCTCTTTTCATCGAGCGCCTGATATAAACCCATAGTATATATTATTATATCATATAATAGTCTTTAATTGGTCTTGCTTCAATGTTTTGAGAGTATACATCAACCTTATTAAATGTATATTATACGGCATGAATATCTTAGTAAGAGAAATGCTGTCACCTTTAATAATTTGGACCCCTTCAAGGGTTGCAACGGGGGATGCTCCCATATAGATAATACTGCAACGTTGACGTTGGTGTTTCTTAAGCCATTTAATCGATAGACCTGGTAATATTTCGAAGGCATCTTCTGGTGCATCTCCGAACAAGACTTCAATAATAAGCGTAGAAAGATCAGGTATTGCACTCAAGTTATCTTTAATATCATTGAATTCATTAACCAAATTTAAGCTAACATTTTTTACTGCCGGACGACCAGGTATAACTTACCATCGGTACCGGGTTTACCGAATCCTTCTGTGTCTCCGAGATAGGAAAGCGCAATTGTATTACATTTTCTGAGTGTTCCAGGGCCTGATGAATAAACCATTATTTATAATATGGAGTGTTACACTCAAGTTTCCTATATGTACAGGTTGAAGTTTTACATCTAATACAAAAATTTTGGTATAATGTGTTCTCTTCTATTTATTATTATCTGATTATTATGTCTCGCAGCACTTATATTGGTCCATCGCGGGTAATACGTTACATCGCAGATAGCGACTTCAAGTTGTCCAGTCGAGTTATCGATAGTATGAAGCAGTTAAATAGACTGACCATTTGTTATTCCCGGGAATGTAACATACAGTGCCGTGTCAGTTATATTCGTACGATCCAAAATGGCCGCCGTTTGTTTACATATCGACTCGCTTTAAAAGAGCGTCATTTATTAATGAAAGAATTATCTACATACCTTAATACTTGGTAAGATGCCCTTTCATAGTCAGAACTTTAGATATCCGGCGTGGAATAGATTCATAAAGGCCACGAATAAAGTCTAGCTCAATGTCCTGCCAAGTGATATGGATCGCTTCAAACAGCTGATCTTGGTTAATGATGTCGTTTACGGTGTCCTGTAGTTTTTTCTGTAGTTTTAGCCAAACATTTTCTATAACATTTAAATCCGGTGATTGTGCTGGCCAATACATCGTGTTTATGGCATTGTCGGCGATGAATTCTTTCACAATATTTGCCCTATGAACGGACGCATTGTCGTCTTGAAATATATAGTTATTGTCTGGAAAATGTCTACAAATTACTGGCCACAAATTATTGTCCACAATTTCTATGTATTTCTGGGCATTGATGTTACCATTTACATGCACCAAAGTCCCCACACCATGATAACTGATACTCCCCCACTCCATCAAACTCAACTTCCTGGTTCGAGGGGGACACACGCACTTGGGTCGATCGGCTTCATTTTCCTTTCTCCAAATGTATACATGATTATTATTTCCAATAACAACCTGACTCTCATCAGTAAAGATTACATTTTTCCAAATATCATTGACAGTTTTTTTCCTCATACTCCGACACCACAAGACATGTTTTCTTCTGTTCACCCCCCTAACAACCATCTTTTTTTTCGTGATGCGCCTGTAGAATCCTTCTCGGTGTAATTCCCTTTGAATTGTTCTATTCGGGACAGGTTGGTCTCTCACCGAATTGAAATTACCAGTGATGTCCTTAAAGGTCTCTGTCTATTATTTTTAACGAGTCTGAACAGCGCGGTGCCATCTCTGTCTGATAACTATTTTTGTCTAGCTTGTCTCGGGATGTTTTCTACCGAACCCGTTCGCTGAACTTTAGCAAAAATACTACCCAAAGTAGACTTGGGAACCTCCAACAGGTCCGTAATCGCTTGATATCTTTTCCCCTCTTCTTTTAACTTTAACGCTATTCTTTTCACATCACCACTCAATTCCTTAGATTTTCTCCCCATGTTTGCACTGATTATCGTATGTTTTGATCTAAACAGCAGACGACACTTTGAAGGACATCACGTGACGGTCACGTGATCAAAGTGACGTCATGTCAAATTTAACATGGTTCCGAGCATTATTGACGCTACGCGAAACATTTTTTTGCTCGTAAAATATTCGACGTTTATAAACCGTTATGGATCGTACGAATATAACTGGCACGGCACTGTACATATTAAATATACAAAGATACTATATCATAACTTAAATATGAAATCAAGTTACATTACGAATCAGTCGATTTTAGTAAGTGCCTCTGGTGCTATTTTTTTTGTTGAATTCCCTGATATCTTTGAAAAATATAGGGTCACGGCAACTAGCGATAAAATGGTGCACGATTGGTTCCACAATCCGATGCAATTTTGGCAGAATCAGTTAAACTTTGTCATGTGGTGTGCAACAACAGGATGTGGTGTATCTCTTTATGCCCCTGGATTTGAACTAAATAAGTCTGTTTTATCATTTCACGTGTACTATCAGATTAGACGTATTCTTAAAGAAATTAGTGCTCCATTCCCACAGGATCAAGCATAGAATGCATCAAATAATCCGTACAATAGGTTCGCGTATGAGCGTATTTGTCAGGAATTTAATATTTCTACCAGTAAAGATTGGCATATTAAAGGACTTAACCATGGTCTAGGTGTTCCGTACAATGGACAAATAACTGTTAAAGAAGAAAGCGATGATTTAGTTAAAAAACTCATCAACCATTCGATCCATTTAAGTTGTTACAGAAAAACAATCTTTTTGTAAGATTGCATAATCTTAATCATGGCTGGGAACTTTCGAGTAACGATTGGAGAGGAGATCTTATGAGTTTTAAGGGTGGTTAAGCTTATATTGTTACAAAATTTGTGCAACTGAACGATACCGCAAACGCTTGGAATGAATTTCTTAATGATAAAACAGAAAATAATTTTACTAACCCAGGAGTTGTAAGAGTTAATGAGTTAATTAAAACATTATCAAGATGTATTACAGTACGCTCAATCCAAAGTAGACTACGTTTATGCGCTGGGACTATACATGTCTCCTAGTAATATGGAACTTAAGATCGGTCAAGTGATAGGTTATAATAATAAAATTGTTATTGCTTCCGATATAAATTCAGATATTAACACCGAATTAATAACGCAAACAAACACAGGCGAAACGGGAATAGTCAAGCCACAGATATCTACTGACGCTCCTACTAACTCATCTACTGAGTGCCACCACATATTGCAGCTAAAAATCAACAACACATCGATGAAAAAACAGCTCTTATAGTAGGTGGAGTGGCTGCTGGTTTATTCATGATTTGTTAAATAGTTCTTAACGGATAAGTACAGCACCCCGGCAATTGCTACGATCAGTGCCAACAAGTTTTGACTAAGCCAAGAGGTGGTCTTT